GAAACGAGTGATTAGGGGAAACATGGCGGACGTGGTAATTTCAGCAATCGCGACGGATCTGCTAGTACCTACAGGTTGTACAGACCTAGTACAGGGCTCGACGACGAGTGTGCCGGTGTTTAGAGATAATCGCTCCACCGATCACCCATCTATCCCGACAGGCTGATCAACAGTCCTTTATCCGGTACCTTTCCTCTTCGATTTGTCCCGTTTCGATCGCAAAGCTGATTCGGACGAGAGGAGAACTGGACACAGGATGCGCTCAGGGTCACGGTCGCGACTGCCACACGCAATTCAAAGCGCACTTCCGGTACGCGGCCGAAAATTAGCCGTGTCTCAGCCAACAACCGAACGGCAAAGGACTTCAATCAGGTAGCCGCTTGCTAATCCTCCCCTCACACACGCCCACATCCCGTGTGTCCGTGAACAAGCTCGTTATAAAAACGTGGTGACCGGTAACTCGCGACATATCGTACTCGTAAAAGCGCGTGCAACTTTACAAGCAGAATCGTAACGTGCATCAGAGAGTGCATCATGGATACCAAACAAGCGTCGCTCTACCTCGCCCTCGTGTGCTTGCAGACGGTGCTCGTGCACGCCGTGGTAAGCTTTCAACGATGGGCTCACTGTTACCCACAGGACGGAAGCCGCTGCGCGTGCAACCGGAAGTTCGCGGTTGCAGTCGAGCGGGACGGCGTTTGTGAGATTTTTTCGACACTTTGCCGGAGATTTATCCGAGATTCATCTGAGATTTATCGGAGATATCGAAAAGTGAACGCGCGGAAATAATACCGATTGGATTCCGGGACAAGTGGACTCGAGATTAGAGGGGAAGCCGAATCGAAGCGTGCAAAATTTCTCTTCGGATTAATCGCGTCGACTCTTTTATTTCCCTTCCTTCCTTTTCGCGTTTTTATTTCCGTTTCGGTCCCACGTCTCCCCTCTCACGGGTGTTTACACGCCACGAGACGTGACCAAACACCGGGAAACTGGTTCGACTAAAATTTACCTCGAGGAAATGCGTATCGTTAGGCAAACGACGCGAGAGCAAGCGAAGAAATAACATCCCGCGATTCGGTCGATCTTATTTCGAACTTGGATCGACTGGTTCAGTCTTTCTAATAGCCTCCCAATTATCTATCACCGATTCCGTGTCGTTTTACACGTTCTACCATAGAATCCGTTGAATTATTAATTCCGTCAGCTATTCGCGTAGCCCGTGATAACAGCAGAGCGATCTCAAAGGGGATATTGAGGAGAGAGGGATTAAGTTGAGGCGTGGACAGTATGGACGAAAATGGGTGAAGTAACTGGCCGATTATGGAGAATTCGACGAACATATCGAGATCGTCCAGTTTTGATTTCGATTTCGTTTGCTCGTAGCCCGACTGGATGCCCCCTGAGATACTGGACATGGCGAAGGAGGACAAGATACGATGCATGAGCGAGCACGGCACGACCCAAGGTTGGTATCGATATCGCGATTCAAATGTCCGAATCAAACATTTTTACGATCAGCGAACTCACCACGGTCCATCCATTTGTAGAGCAAATCAACGACGTGGAAAAGGGGACAATACCAAACGATCCGTCGATTACTTGCTACATGTATTGCCTGCTGGAAGCGTTCAGCCTGGTAAGTCGAAGCAACCACTGCTCAAAGTAGATGCAACTAATCGAGAAATCCTTTCGTTTAGGTCGACGACGAAGGTAACCTGGACGAGGACATGCTCATGGGAGTGCTCCCGGACAATTTTCAGGAGCTGGCGAATTCCATTTTGAAAACGTGTCTCCCGACCCGTATGTCTTTCGTCACGTTAAATTGAAAATTGAAAATTTTTCATTTTTCATTTTTAATTTCAAATCGAGGAAATTTTCGGACGAACCGAAACGGCAAATCGTGCGAGTGACTATGGAAATTTTCATTTTCGTGATGGTCGGAATATCAAGGTTCGAGTTTTGGGAAAATACTTCGGGGCACGTGCGAGATTCGTTAAAGTCGATTTGCCGCGGGAAAAGGAAAGCGTCCTCGATTTGGAATTTCGAGTGGGAAATTTTCAAGCCGAATGTCGAAATTGAGACTTTCTAATATCCGCTATGGTTCGATCTCACAGACGGTTCTGACAATTGCGACAAGATATACAACCTCGCCAAGTGCATACAAAGCTCTGCACCAGACGTAAGTACACATAGTATCCTTTACTTTCCTTCGCGATAGTGCTCGATAAGTCGTTAACTCGGGTGAAAGTAGAGCGCGTATCCAGAGACAATTACGTACTCGGATCAATCCGAGTTACACGAGGCAGGTTTTTCGTTTCTTACGGCTTGGTAACGATCATCGTGCTTCCTAGCTAACTCGAATGCGATAAATCTTTATGCTCCTAACGGCACGGGCACGCAAAAGCGGGGCGAAGCGTGCAGACAATTAGCCAAGTAACCGTGGCAGTGCTGTAGCGTTGGAACTCAACGGGTGCCCTTTGCTTTCAGATATGGTTCATGATCTAAGGGCATGGAAAGATGGTTATTTACGATGGAACGATATTTTTCCCGCGTTCAACGGCGAGCAAAATGAAACAAGCTGCAAGACGGTTACCGAGTACGGAATTGCGATCAATGGTGAACGAAGGATAACGAGAAAAGAAAAAAAGAAAAAACGACAAACAAACAAATAAATAAATAAATAAATAAATAAATAAATAAAACACCTACCGACGTTGGTTTATTCGCAAGAAGAGCGTACGTTTCGCTGGTTCGGAAAGGACGGACAAAGCTATAGTCTAAGTTTAAGCTTAAACGGAAAGCTGCGTGTACGTCGACTGTTCGGATAAAGCGTGCTTCGACGCGAGTGTGCAAGAGGAGAAAGAAGGGAAAAGAAAAGCGGCAAATGCGTATAAAAATCGGCCAAGCGAACACGCGTGGTTCGTGGAACCGGTAACTCGGTATATCCGAGATATATGTTGTGCCCGAGCGCAAAAATAATATATTTGGAAAAACGATAATAACGCGTATCCTGAACGTAACAGCGTTACGTAATGATCGAACGAAGCGCGATTTGCGGCTCATTGATACTATAATTTGCATGACAATCTAATTCGCGAATGTCTTCGAATACGGCGTAATTGTATGTTTGCGCGGTACACCGAATAGCCGCTTCCAAGGCAGTAAAATGATACGCAAAATCCAGCACGCTGCCATTAAGTGGTATCCTTAAAGTTCCACATAATTTTATAATGACTCCGCCGACATGATGGCCGTTACGCAATATCATCGTTCGGAAGCTGTCGCGCGATTCAGCCTCGTTTCCAACCAACGACCGTGTGCCGCGGGAAAAATCGTTCGATCAGCGACCACGAGTTCAAACTTGCGAGTAATCGATGGAATTTCCGTGGAAAAAGCGGACCAAACTACCCACTAAATCCCGAAATCGGCGAGATCGCCGCGACCGGAGACGAATGATCGAACGATCCTCCGGACGAATCGTTTGCTATTGGTTGCGGTGTTGCTTAAAAATATTCCAAGGTTGTAACGCGAGGCGTTCATGCAATTATTTATATCGTTTCCGCAGAAAAGTGCGCGATCGTTGCAGGGGAAGACGCGGCGAGCGGAAAATTTCGCGCGAGAATTTTCAACGCTGATCCACCGTTGACCGCGATCGAGCGATCGGCGATAGATGGCGGATAGACCGGGACAGAGCTCGACGGAAATTCCCTGGAATGTCGAAACGAGCATGATCGGATCGATTTTATCGGCGATTCGAGCGATCGAACTTCGACCCGAATCCCGCGCCGTTCTGCGACGTCGGAACCGCGTAGCTCGCCGTTTGCGCGTTCCAACGCGGAACCGAGGAAAAACGGCGAGTGCAGCTGGAAATGTGGCATATCGACGTATCGACCGGTGTACCGGTGCTTCGACGTTCCGTCGAAAAGTTGCCGCGAACGTGGTCAACTATACCGTCACCGCTCCTCTCGCCGTTGACAATAAGTATATAGCAGTCACTATTCAACTACTGTTAAACAAACGTTCTCATGCGTTATCGTGCAGAAACATGGTGTGTAAAAAAAGAGAGAAAGAAACGAGAGAAAGAAGAGGAGAGGTAGATCGAATTGCCGAGGGAGAGAGATTCGATTGACCCGCGTGTCGCGGACGTGGTGCACGTGGTGTCGCTTAACGGAAGCCCTCGGTTCCGCGAGCAGCTGGCGAGCCAGCGGACTCCGCAGCCGGTCGAGGTTACCGCCAACGTTTCGCCATCGATTTCGCGATATTCCGCGATATCTCGCGATATCTCGCGTTGCTTCGTAATTCTCCGTTCGGACGGGGGGCAATGGAAAGTTAGCGCGCTGCGGACTCGCGTACTCGCGCGCGCGTGCACGCCGGGCGGCGAGAGTCGGCGAAATCGGTAAGAAACGAGTGGAACCGTGCAACAACGCGTCCCGGCTACGGAGAAAAATCTTGAAACGTCTATTTTTAAGCGGCGACTGGAAATAGTCGGTTTAATGAAAGGAGGCACGCGATCGCCCGTACGTTGCTCCAGTCATGAGTCACGCTTCGAACGCGGACTCGCAACAAGTAGAGATCCCCCATAATGTCCGTGTAATTGATCGAACCAACACCGATGTAATTTCAATACCGTGCAAGTTACCGCGCATCCGCGAGGCAGCATACGGCGTACGCGCACACACGGGTTAGGTGTCTCTGGTCGACTCTGGCAGTCTCGTTTGGGGCACGGAAAAAGAAAGAAAAAGGAAAAAGAAAAAAAAAGAAAAGAATATACAGAGAGATCTGTCGCGGTCGTCTACCTCCAGAAAGGACTGCGTCTCGATCGCGGGGGTACGATGATCGGGGGGGTCGGGTGAGAGAAAACCAAAAGTCAAAATGGGTGCAGCATGTGTGTGTATATATATATGTCTATACATACATGGAAAGAGAGAAAAAAAAGGTAAAAAAATACAGGGTTTGAAGTTGGAAAAACTAGGCTGACACGGCTGTTAGATGACCAATACCTTAAGGTCGATCGAGTGGATAGCGGCGTTGTGCGGCGATGCGTGTTCTTTCGCGTCATTGCCGCAATTCGCGTTGTTGTTAACATTCGGCAGAGAGCCACCCGCCCTGAACTGATTGCCCAGGTTAATGTGCAGGTGTTTGCCGCTGGACTGCGGTGGGCTGGCGCCGGCACTCTTCACGGACAGCGGAGTCTCCAGTACCCCGGACCCCGTGGGACTGGCGCACACCGAGCTGCTCGCCGAGGCGACCTAAGCAGGCCCATCGTTCATATGGTCACCAACTTGTTCGCTTCCTCCGACAAACTAGCGCCTCTTGCCTTTCCATCCTGCCTATTCCTTACTCTCTCTCGCTCTCTCTCTCTCTTTCCTTTCCTCCCTTTTTTTCTCTCCTTTTCTCCTTTTCTCCCTTTCCCTTACTATCTCTCTCTCTCTCTCTCTCTGTTTCTTTCGCTATACCCTTTTGTAAGTACGTACATGTATACTTCGCGAACCTTTTTCTCCCGTGTGTGTATATATATATATATATATGTACTCGGTATAACGAGCATATAACCGAGCATGCCCTGGCTACGAATCACGAGTCGACTTATATGCTCGCTCTCACGATCGCGTGGATTTCATACGTGCAAGTAAACGTTTGCCTTTCGAGAGAGGCTCGATATCCTTTCTATAGACGCCAGGTTAGGCTGCTGGCTCGTCCCTTTTAGCGAGGAAACACGCTTTAGAGGAATTCCAGAGGATCCGAAATAGATAGGATGAAGATCCTCGCCTACGAACATGCATCCCACATGCATGCCAAAGCTGCGGACAGGGTCCCATCGGGGCCTTCCGAAGGAAAGCAGCAGCTCGGACATGGCGAACCTCGTGAAACGGTCGCGAGACCAGGTTCCGCTGCTAGGGAATCGATAACATTCGAAAGCTCCAACAGTTGGTTACGTCGGAAACGTTTGGCGCGGATCGAGAGGAGGGCAGCGGAGCGGATTTTCCTGGATCGCGATCGTTAAAGGCCCACACGCGACTGGAAACTTTACGCCGAGGCGTCGGCTTTCCTGCCCCGACCACGTTTCGATAAACAGCCTCTCCTCCCCTCTCTCCTCTCTCCACCTCTGCCCTACCCTCTTTCCGTGGTTTCATCATCGCTCGAATTCCAGCTCCAGGTTGTTTTTCGAGCCGAGAGACACCGGGATCGAAAGAATATGCCCAAACCGTCGTAACGGGACCGATGGTCGCTGGAATTCCTCCGTCCCGAGCCCGGTTCCAGCCGCGTCGCGACGTTAAATTCGCTATCGGCGTGCTGCAGATAAAAGCGCGAACGGACCCCTATGTTTCGCGACAACCGGCGATTACGTAAGCACTCGCGGTGAAAGTACGCGTCTTTTTCTTGTTCAAGTACAACCTGTTTTGCATTCGCCTGACCGCACCACGCCGCGTTAGAAATTTCACGTGACTCGCCTTTCCTTCGAAATGCCATTTTTCATTTTGCCAGCACGCGGCAAATCCACGAGGAAATCGTTACGTCTATCGATAGTTTACGAGAGAAAAGAGAGAGATCGCGTATCCACGCGCGATCGCAAACTTTCGAGAGGATCGAAGTGATAGAGTGGCGAGACAAAATGATACCACGACCCGTGTGGCTTTCAGGGTAACAAATTACACGATTGTAAATTCACCCTTTCGTGGATCACTGAGTGGCCGAGTATTCCTACGATTTTTATTTAATTTCGAAAATCAATGGTACAGGAGAATTTGTTTAATTTCTTCCCGCATATTTTCGAAGGTAAAAGAAAATTTAAATTATCGCGATATTTAAACTGCGAAAAGCCAAATTTGAAAAGTAAATATCCGATGTATATAAGGGGTACGCGAATAACTATTCAGACAACAACGGAAAACATTTTAGCAGGGTTTAACTTTGATTTCACGGGATTTTAAGAAAAACGGAAATTTTTCTGTTATTTTCTTCCGTATATCTATCGTGATGAACAATTTTTACAGGTAGACTCGAATTGTCCTAATCGTCGAAAAATAAAATGTCGAGCCATTCTTTTTCGTAGCTAAACTACCATTTCGTTGCATCCACTTTCGCGTAAATAAGAATTTGGAAAATATTATTAATCTGTCTCTATATTATTAAGAAAAAGGTAACGAATATTAGCATGTCGCTCGAGTGTCGCTTCGGTATGTCATCGTTTTGCCGCGTTTTGAATTATATTCAAATTCGAGAATGCGAGTATGCGGGACCAGCTTTGAACGCGCCCGCGAGCACACGTACAAACGCGCGCCACACAGGTACGCGCCGTTTCTTCCCCCTTTCTCTTCCTTTCTCTCTATTTCCTTTCAACGGTCATTGTTCCATTTTACGCGACTCGCTCCAAGTGATGCTTTCCCTCCGTATTTTTTTTTAACCCCCGAACGTTTTCGATCCGATATCCCGGAGACAAAGGTTTAAACCATTTTCACCAATGGCTTTCCGCCATTTATCCGAGTAGCAGCTATTCCGACATTTCGTCATGGCGACCCACGCCGGTAACGGGCACGTAATCCGCGAAAAATATCTGGAAAGAGCGTTTAGATCGGTCGAAATGCTCAGTCGTTAAAAGCGATCGTTGTTTTCCCCGTTCGATTTGCGATTAAGGCACGCGCGAGAGTGGCACATCGATTCGAACGATTAATCGCCGCGTTCGTAATCGTTATCGAGGCCGTTAACGGTACAGTGATTCACGCACAGTGCAGTTGGACGTTGGATGAAAAATCGTAGCTCGTGGAACAAAGATCGTGGACGAGAGAAGGAAGAAGGCGTGCAAGCGCGATACACGATCCACGATTTGGTCTGGTCAGGACCGAGCTATCGGCGCTGATTAATAGAATGGACGTTGTTACGTGGACGCTGACGCGCGGCCGATTACACGCGACACGGTTTTCGCGTGGTATCGAGAATTTCACATGGTCGATATGTACATGTGCACGCGAAGTTTGTAACTTTTTCACCGTGTGTCGTGGAAATGCACTTCGAGAAACGAAAACATCCGTTGGTCGAGGAAGCGTATCTCGAATTACCCTGACATTCCAACGCCAACGTGAGATAATTGGCCGGAGCGGAGCGTGAAAGGAAAATAAAGAGAAATGCAGAGCGAAGTATGCAGCGGACACCTGAAAACGCGGCAGCACGCTCGAACGGCCGACAGATTAAGTCACTGTACCGTAAATAAAGTCGCGATATCGACTAATCGAATGGTGAACTTCAACGTATAACGCAGCTTCCGCATTTAGTACGATGCTAGGGCGTTATGTAATGGCGGTTATCGGGTTCCGTCTACCGAAAAACGCGCCAATTTCGCACGGTTCCCGCGAACCGCAGTCTCGCGTAAAGCCACGACAGAGAGCGCCACGCGCGGTCATGGAAAAAATGCGATCGGTGTCGCGTGAACCTTGCCGCTTTTCTACGCCTCACGTCCGAAAATTGTCGCACGAGCTGACGCGCGATTTGTCGTATCCACGTGGCTTTCGCAAAAATGAATGAATATGTGCTCGTGTAACGGTGTTCCCGAGATTCGCGATCAACGGTGAACGGTTAACCCTTCGGACCTAACGAAAAATCGCACTCGAGAGATGGAGAGTACTGCTATAATTCCGCGACCATGGAATTTCGAACTTATCGTGCTGACTTTTCGTAAACACGGAACACTCGTGCAACCCGTTAACGATCCGAGCGATACTGTCAATCTAGAAGGTACGGTTCGGTTTATCGTGCAAACCCGTGGATGTGTTAAGGAAAGCAATTTCGCGCAGAAGCGAGACGATAGGTTGTTTCGGTGTCCGGAACCGGAAGTGTCATACTTAACGAGAACGATTTTCATTGGTGTTTTCAACGTGTAAAAAATTAGGCCGTTGATCGATTATTAGAGATATTTTGGAAATGAAACTTGCCTCGAGAAAAATAATCGTGTGTAATTATCGATAATTGGATTTTGTGACGCATCGATCGGGAATTGTTTTGGATCGAATCAAAACACGACTATCTGTTTGCTTCTCCTACGAGGGGACAAAGTTAGTTGCCTTTGTAGAGACTCTGATTTCGGTACGACACGTGATTTTTCAAAGACACGGTCTTAAAATGTTCCGAGAATTGACGAAGATATTGGAAATCGGTGAATAAGGTTGACTCGATGAGATGGACGTTGGTTTGGTGAGAACGGTTCGACAGTCGATATAGAATGAAAGGAAAATTGAACAGCGCGTTTGAACGAACGATGAATTATGGAAAAAAAAAAGGAAGAACAGTTGATTTGGTGAGCATCGATCGTGAATAAAAGTATGTCGCGTAAATAGAAACACAAATACGGTGATCGCAATGTTTACTGTAGACACTTCGTCGTTGGTTTAAGCGAAGAACCAGCGAAGAAAATAGAGAGTTTGGCTGATGGCGGGCGTCCGATTAAGATTGATTATATTCCGATGATGAGAACGTTGAAGGAATTGTGATTTTCTTGAAAATACGATCAGTCGGTTGGAACAAGTCAGCAGGATGGATGCGATCGTGGATCGCACACGTATGCATTTATTAAGAACTTACAGGACGGATGGTGGCAAACAAGCGCACAGTACGTTTCGCATAGTATACCGGAGCATATACCCGTTCCGCATATACGCGTATTCATACACTCTTACACGCGGCCAACGAAGAGACACATACACATCCGTCCACACACTACGATGATAACGAATAGGAAAGAGAAACAGAGGGCCAGCGGACGAGTACGCGTAGTTGTGCGCGTTAACACGAATACTGATAGTAGGCTAGTCACACACTCATACACGCACGACCGTGTAGCAAGCCGAGCACATTCACAAAGGCACATACACACACAGTCGACACACGGTGCAACGAGGAGAGAGAACACTCGTTGTTTACGTTCTAACATCTGAGCCGAAGAAGATATATTGAAAATATCAAGATATGTCCCTCAATGGCAAGGACCTACTGGGATTTCCTTACTCTGCTTGTGACATCCGAAACTTCTCGCATGATTGCCTCGAACGCCGCTCTTTCCTGCGCTTCCTTCTGTTTGTGTAGCGCGATCTTGTCACTGAACTTTCGTGGATTCGCCATGATGGCTCGACACTAGATCTCCCGACACTCGCGAGTATCGTGCACTTACTATCTTGTGCCCTCTACCCCCTCACACGTTTCCTTTTTCACCGATCGCACCAATAAGGGCTCCCTAAATTTCACCACGTTAGAACCCGTAACCTACTGCCTTCTGGATGGCACTGCCGATCACTGATACGCAAGATTATGCGGCGCAGCGCGCCATGCGCATCGCGCAGGAGCCGCTTTTTGCAGGCTTATTGGTTACAGCGATCCCCCACCATTCTATCGCACCCGCAATAAAAAACTGACGACACTTTTCCGGGGTGTTCCAAAAAGCTCGCTCTTTCGTTTGATATTACAATGTACTGCGCTGTGGATAAAACAGATTAACATTCCCATTATATTACTGTATGCTTGCAAATGTAAACCCACGAAAGATTGTTTACTTTTAACTCATTTGTAAATATATCGTTTACAACTTTTGTAATGTTTCCTCCGATACATTAATATGATAAATACGTTTATTTAGCTTTTAGATTTCTTTATCTTTATTTATATTGCGTTAAATGGTAAAAAATGTTGATCCAATTGATCGACAAAATTATTTCCTAATAATTTCCTTCTAACCTTAATTATACCTAATATACCTTTTTTACAACGAGTTTAAGCAAGAAAAATGTTCTTTTCCAGTTATAATATAATTTTCTCATATGTATTAATACGAAAATATTGATCGATCATTTTTATACCAGCTTACGTTTCTGCTACATCGATCGAGAATGAACCGAATCGAATGTATCGTCAATGTTCTACATATATAAGCATACCACTACAGAGTATAATTATTTTACAGTTGTTCCATACATGTTAAATTTGTTATAAATATAAGAAATATATGTATTTAAATATTATTATTAACACGTATTAAGCATTGAAAAATAAAAATGTTATTTTTCTGCACTGCGATATTTGTAATAATAAAAGTTTGAAATGTAAATTTCATAGAAATGACTCGTTTTAATAAAAACACATATATTGAATGTTTACCAGTAAGTGTATATAACGAATTAGTTAATGCACTGAATAAAAATGCAGCTTGGGTAACGTTAGCAAATCATGTAGCTGAAGAACTTCAATATCCAAGGTAAGAAACTGCTTATTTAAGTTTATTTTATTTAAGATATAATTATTAGTTATAGTTATAGAAGAATAAAATATAACTATTAGTTACAATTATTCAGTTTTAATTCTATTTTATAACTATATGTATATATATGTATATATATATATATAGCTCTTTGTGGATGCAATCTTTGGAACAGATCAAACATCCAAACGATTCTCCTGGACAAAAGTTACTTTCCGAATTAAGTATTAAAATGTGTACTGTAGAAATTTTATGTGCATTGTTGAGTGATTGCAAACTTTATAATATTCTCTCTATTATATCTGATCCAGGTATGGTAATATTTATTGTGATTTAATGCACGGTATAATATACATTTAATTCTTCTTAAGTATTTATGATTTTAGAACCTTTGAATATTGTTATACATCCAGGGGATGAGTTCGAATCTAGTATTTTACAAGTACCAATTGGACGTCGTCTTCATCTGTGCTGCAAAGCTATTGGAATGCCACTGCCAAATTACATATGGTATCATGATGATAAACAATTGCAACATCATACCTCTGATAAGCTTGATCTTATTATAAATAGGTATATACTTCTAACCGTTATCTTATTCTAATCGTTATATAGCAAAACTCATTTTATTTTTATTAAAGTGCTTCTCAAGCAGGAAAATATAAATGTAAAGTATCTCAAATGAAACATGATGGAACAGTCATATCAACTTTGATTTCAAAAGCTGTAAATGTACAAATTTTTCCTATGCCTGTTATAATAGAAGAACAACCACAAGCAATTTTGGAAATCAAGGAAGGTGAAAATTTTACAATTTGTTGCAAAGCTAATAGTTATCCAGCACCACGTTATCAATGGTTCCATGATAATACTAAACTAGAAGGAGAAACATCTAATATTTTGCACGTACGGAAACTATTATCTTCCTTTCTATCAGAGTAGTTAATAATGTTCTTTTCATCAAAGTGTTTATAATTGCAGATAAAACAATTTACTTTAAGAAATGAAGGAAAATATTATTGTTATATTTATAATGATATTAGCGAAATCTATACTCAAAGGACACGTGTAATGGTAAAAATACATAATTATTGTGTATTAATACTTTATCGTTGTATCATTGTCCATTAATTAAACTATTCTATAGATGGATCTTCCAAAGTTGAAAGCAGTTGCAAAAATAGCTTTGATTATAGCAAATGGAGATTATGAACACCATGAATGTCTCCTAATGCCTAAAAATGATGCTGCATATATTGGTAATCTACTTAAAGAAATAGGATTCGAAGTAATTTGTCTTATCGATTTGACAATATCACAAATGAAAAATGCAATAAAAATATTCAGCAAAGCTTTAGCAGAAGGTGTATATGGTAAGGTATAAAAAGTGTGAAATAAAAACTAGATTTTTACATAATGTATTTTTCTTTGTTTAGGTTTATTCTATTTTGCTGGTCATGGTTTCAAAATGCAAGAAAGTTACATGCTTGCAACAGATGCCCCAGAAACGTATTTAAGAAAAGATGCAATATGTGAAAGTGAACTATTATCCGCATTTCTTGAGAATGATCCTGAATTATTAATAATTATTTTAGACATGTGTCAAACTTCACCTTCAAAGCAAGTTCTTCGGCATTTTTTATTGCTTTCTTTGTTTCTATTTATCTCTACATTTATAATATATTATATATATATATGCTTATTTCTTTAGAGAATTTAATCCCGAAATATACCATGAAGTGCCAACAGTAAATGAATATAAAAGTAAGAAGAATCTTAGAAATTTAATTCAGGCATATTCTACCTCTAGTTATCGACCCAGTTATGAGAAGATAAACAGCAAATATGGGTTGTACATGACACACCTTAGCAAATATATTACTAAAGACATAACAGTCATAAAATTATTTGAAGAAGTAGGGAAATGTAAGTTGTTAATATCATACATTCGACACACAGCACACACACACACACACACACACACACACGCGCGCGCGCGCGTACGCACACAATATTTCCCGTTTACAAGGTTTATATATTACAATTATTATTTGCAGCCATTGATAGTTGTTTTAAAGGCAAAGAACGTAATCAAATTCCAATGTTTGCTGCGTCTGTTACAAAACCGTTCCGTCTCACTGATGCTATTTACAGAAGTAATTTTATTTGTAATCATCATGTATTCGTAATTAGTAATATTTTAATTATTATTTCAACATAATTTTCTAAATGTTATAGAAAATCATCCTGGTATCATTGATTATTTAAACAAACTCATATCGTGTACAACGGAGGTAATAAACGTAATGTTTAAACAAGCAAATATGTGTAGTAGAGTTACAATATCGCTATTTATAGAACCATATTTAAATTTAATAAAAATCAAAGTACTGGATTTGCCAAACGTAGAAATCAACTTTTTCAATTCCATTCCGCCAAAACGAAATAATTTATTTCAAGATCAACATAGAAAGGAATGTTGGATACACAATCCCCAAATTAATGAGGTACATAGATAATACAAAGATATTTGTGTAATGTGAAAAAATTGAATAATGTACACCATTGAGGGTCATGTGATTTTATGTTATAGGGACCATTGGTGATTTCTGTGTTAAAAAATGGAATTTATATTGGTGCAGCAGAATTAGATATAAAAAATTATATACCTCCTTTATTGAAAATTATAAACACTTAAAAAGCAATATTTGTTTATATTCTTGTTATTGAATTTATAGTACTAAACATGTAAATCAGTATGATTTCATAAATATATTTTTCAAGAGTTTGTATTTTTTAAATATTAACACATATTTCACTTGAAAATAAATGATATTTTTATGAAAATTGTTGCATAAGATCATATTTTTTTATTTACCATGAAACTAATATCTTTTAAACATACTTTAAAATTATACATAGTAATTTATGAACCTTACTATCCATGCCCCAGCTATACCATTTATATACTTCCTTTGAAATACATATATAAACTGTGGATCCCAGGTTATTTGCGTGAAGAAATTTTGTTCCATGGTGATGATTCCTCTTATTCCAATTTTAATAATTGTTTCATCTTTGCCTAAATAAAAATTACAGCATGTAGGAAAAGAAATGAAAATAAAAGATAATATTACACAAGAGTACCTTTAATTCTATTTAATGCTATAAACATTGGACTCAAGTTATAAGGCTTATTAGTTAAGTCTAGAAAGTTTCGCTGATCAGGCGTAAGGCGATCAACTCTATGTTTTAATATTGTTAGAGTTCTTTCTGTTACCATACCATCTAAAACTTCATAGTTTTGAGTACATAAAGCATTAGATATTACTTTAAGTGCCTAAAAAATGTTTTCAATGATACTTATGTTTAATATATAATTTAATGTTTACATGTACGATTATAGATGTGAAGATTATTGATATATATATAAACAAACCTGGTTAACACCTGTTCTAAAATTGAGTAAGCTGATGTCTTTATCAACAACTGCATGCAGAAGGTAAGCTGATTTTATGAAATATAGAAGACTGAGATATTTGGATGGAACATATATTTGCATTAATGGTGGCATGCGAAATGTACTTTCTGGCCTGCTACTTAGTAACCTATGTACATTAAGACTTGCATTTGTTAGGTATGAATATTTGAATTTTGTGCAATCATACGTCGGTTTGGTCTTTGCTTGAGTCGTATGCATGTAATATGTTACAAGTTGACGCACTCGTGTGTCAATTACACATTTTTTCCTTCGAAATAACATTTTTTGGATTGATGGTTCTCCTTTGATACAAAAAATGTATCGCCTTTATGTATATCTAAATTATTATTTTAAATTATACCAGTAATACTACTAATTGGGGTTTAATAAATAAATACCTTTATTTAGCAATATTCTATCGCGTTGTAAATATTTTATTAATAGGTAAATCTAATAAAAAATTTTTCAAAACTATGGTAAATTTTGATAAAGTTAAATTTATAAATTGTATTTACTTTATGCTATATTTAATAAAATTATCTACACCGACTGTATGTAATGTATAAAAGAAATATATCAAAAACATCTCTGAAACTTGGTCATTTTATTTTTCTTATTTTTTATTCGCGTATAATTTGATATAATTTTTTA